TCTTCATTAAGTGCTTAATAACTTCAGCACTTAAGCTCATACTTCAGATCCAAGGTCCAGAGGCATACTAGGGTCATAAAGTTTCCAACTTTTATGACTTTACACGTCCATAAAGTCCTTAACACAAGGTCTTAATCCATTAAGACCTTCTACAAGATGCATGGAGCCAAGCTAGCTAAAGGGACCTTATTTTTATGGCTTAGGACCCTTCCTAGGGTCTAGAAGGACAGCTCAAAACGTCTAAAACCAAATTTGCATAAAAATGGGACTTTTGAGACAAGAAGAACAACATAAGGTTACCAAACTGAGATCCAAGCAATCAAAGTGTCAAGGTGAAAACTTTTTACCTTTTGGAGCTTCTCAAGAAGGTAATGATCCAAGATTCACAAGCTTGCTTCCACTTCTATGCTCCTTGATGCAACACCTACTTCCTTAAGCACACCAAAACACACGTTTTAGCTCAAAAACACACTTGAGGGACTAGGGTTTTGCAAGGGACAACTCTAAGGCTTTGGAGGCTGAAAAGGTGGGGATAAATGAGCCATAAGGATGTTTAAATACCCCTCAAACGCTAAAACTTAGGGTTTCTTTCGGACATGAGTACGCCCAACGCACATATGTGTACGCCCAGCGTAGCGTACTAGGTCGCGTCCTAGTACGCTTAGCGTACCCACATGTACGCTTAGCGTACTCCTACCCCAAAATTACAACCCTGCCACTAGGGCTTCTTATGGCCACTCCCTTCTAATACAATGCATAAAAAAAATACTTAGAGATCACAAAACTTTCTTTTGAATTTTTTTTATGAAAAAGTCGCTGCTTTTAATACAAAATCGTTGAAATTTTTTTTGAAAAAAAACCATTTTTTTTATTAAAAAAAAAATTCATTTTTTATTTTTTTTTCCAGCGATTTTATTAAAAAAGTTGCGATTTTTTCCTAAAAAAAATTCAAAAAAAAGTTTTGTAATCTCTAAGTATTTTTTTTATGCATTTTTATGATTTTTAGGGTTTTTTTAGGTTTTTTTTGTTTTCCAAATAACCATTCCCTATATATATATATATATATATATATATATATATATATATATATATATATATATATATATATATATATATATATATATATATATATATATATATATGCATTCATAGATGCATTATTATTTAATAAAATAAATTTTCTTTTCAAATATATTCATAATTTATCTATGAATATTATATAATTTATCTATGAATATATATATATATATATATATATATATATATATATATATATATATATATATATATGCATTTTATAGATGCATTTATTATTTAATAAAATAAATTTTCCCTAGATCATGGACTGTGCATTTGATAAGATAGATATTTTTTTATCTGTAGTGTTATATAGATAGTGTGATATCGAACTGGATTCGTCTTCAATATGCAGTCATTTGAATTAATATTAACTAAAACAAAATCGATTAATTTGATCGATTGAATTTAATCAACAACAAGTAATATATTCGAATCAAATATCTTATGAATTCAAAGTTTTTTTTTTATTTTAAATCGACTATGCATCTAATAGATGCATTACTTTTTTTCATTAGATATCGATTTGGATTCAGCTTCATTTTTGCAGAAATTTGTTAATTAACATCGATTAATATATTCAAATCAAATCTTTCACGAATTCATTTTCATTTTATCGATTACAAATACTATGCATTTGATAGATGCATAACTTGTTTCTATAAGATATAAATATTGATTCAAGTAATTGATTAATTAAAATCAATTTATGTTTATTGATTTACCCCGAATTGAAATTAAAACGTGTTTGATTTAATCTATTGGAATTTGATCTTAATTAAAATCTTAGCGCTATTATTGGGTTCGTTGATTGTGTCCCTGAAGGTGGTTCGTCAAAGATCTCGTCTCTCTCTCTCTCTCTCTGTATATAATATATATATATAATATATATTATATGATATATATATATATATATATAATATATATAGATATATATATATATAGATATAGGGCCGGTCCAGACGGTGGGCAATCCGGGCGACCGCCCAGGGCCCACGTCTGCAGGGGGCCCAAATTTATGGGCGATGTAGTGTTGTGTGTTGTGTGTGTGTGTATAATATATATATATATATAAATACTATATAATATCTAATTACCTAAATGATTTTTAGAGCCTAAGTTTGTTCAAACTCAAATTAGCTCAAAAAATAACAATTTGGTTTGCGTGTTATTGGCTATTGAGCCGTCTATACTGAAAAATAAATGATATATTGTTTTTAATTTTTATTATATTTGTCTTTGAGGGCTTCTTTTTTTCATTACGCCCGGGCCCCATATACGTTTGGACCAGCCATAATAGATATATATATATATATATATATATTATATATATATTATAATATATATATATATATATTTTCATAAAGAAATATTATACATTTATGTGTTGGAAACACTAACCATCAAATATCTTTCTAAAAATATCCATTCATCTAATAAAAAGAATATGCAACATTATTTCCCTAAAATTGCATGGATTATACTTTTCAACAACATTTCACCTAAAATTTAAACACTTTCATTTTGTATCTCTCACCTAACTTGTTAGGATATGGGACCCACGTTTTGCCTAATCCTATATTTTGTATAATTTTGTAACATTTGATATTAAATAATAAAATTATTCCATTATTAATTAAGATCCAAAATGAAAAGATCCTGTAAAACATAATTCTTGTACTTAATAACTTGTAATACTCATCAAAAGACAAGCGTACATATTACATATATTCTTATATAATAAAGGAGTCGGCCAAACGTACACGAGAAAGTGACACGGCTTAATGTTATGGTTGATCATGACAAATATGCGAAAAAATAAATATATACCCCAAGAATTAATATGGTTCACAAGATTTGGGCAACCCAAGTCAGAACATTAGGGTTTACAAGATACACGAAACCTATGTATATTGAGAAAACGGGCATAAATATGTATACGAGTCAAAACCCCAAAACCCAAGTCAACCTCAAGGAACTCCATAAGAAGGGAGAGTACATAGGCATATACTTTCCCCTTTTCTATGGTTCAGAATCTATGGTCTCAAATATCTGGTCAATCTCTCTAATTTCGAATCTCTTGAATCATTCTCTAATGTAAAATTTGAACATTTCTTAAGTTTCAGGTCCATGGACATATTATGCTTCACAACTCAACATTTAAGACATTCACATAATGTTAGGTGAAAGTACTATTATATGTCTTATAGTAGTATGGCAAATTGTGTGAATTCATAGCTCACTAGTCAGGTTAAAGTATTATGGACATCATCCTTTATACTCTTAACAATATTTTGAGTTATCATAAGTAGTTGGTGAGATCACCCTAAGATATACAGCCCCAAGATGTAGTAAGTTTAGTTGAATTGGGCCCATTATGGCCTTAATTTATATAGATTTGTCTATATTATTATTTGAGATATGCATTTTGGAAGTAAAGTTCATATATCGTAAGTATCATACACGTCTTAAAACAACATGATGGACATCTGTTGCATAGATTTTATATGGGGAACGCTCTCTACTAGCAACCTACTAAAAGATCAAAAGTAAAAACTATATAGTAAAATAATGTAAGCAAATAAAACTGTATGTTAAATTATGAGGTCTGATTGTTCATTGCAATGTTTTAAAACCCGGGTTTTAATTGACCCGGTGTGATGACCGGTTCACGGGTCAACCAGTTGAACCGACAGGTCAACCCGGTTTATAGTCTTTTTTTATTTTTATATATTTTTAGTTTCCTGCATAATGCATAAACATATAAAACCAATAATTTGATGTCCACAAAGTTTAAACATTGAAAAAAATTGAAGAAACCGCAAACGGCTTGTTGTTTTGGCGCTCGCTACTTGTATCCAACTATTCAAGCCCTATCAAAACGGGTCAATCCGGTTTTAACCGGTTCGACATAAGCGGTTGAACCGCGGTTTAGGGGAAACCCGGCCGGTTCGATCCGGTCCGTATTTTTACAAAAAAACCGTTCTCAATTGACCCGCATTCTACCCCGAGTCACGGTCCAACTAGTTGAACCGGCCGGGTCGACCCGGATTTTAAAACATTGGTTCATTGACATTATTATTACTACTGAAACTTAGGAATGTGGTCCTGCTAGCTAGCCCGACCTATAACCAGTTTTAGAGTTGAAATGAAAATCTAACAGTTTTGATTAGGGTCGAAGAAAAAAAAAAAAAAAAAAAAAAAAACTAGCTCTATATATTGACCTCGATAACTGTAAACCCCATTACAAAATAAATAAACATCCCTTAATTGTTCGTATGTGGAAAAAGAACAATTGCCCTAATGTTGTGAATTAATCCGTAAATCTTGTGTGTTCTTTAGTTTTCTTTGCATCTTATTTGTCTATATCTGTTTGTAGTGATTACCCAAACATCTTAGTGTAGATAACGCACATTTACCTAGTGTAAAACACCATCCATATGTGCGTGTGCGGCTTAATTAACAAGATACAAATCACTACGCCATCATTAAATGGATTTTATCAAAGTATAAATACCTCAACAAACTACCTACTTAATTAGAAGTTCTTAAGTCAAAATAAACCGTAACAATGGAAATGGAAATAATCTCAATGTTTGGTGTCTTGTCACTACAAAATATCCAAATTTAAGAACATTTACAGTTCTGTTTTACAATATACAAATTAATCACTAATTACTACTTGATCCATGAGATTCTATCGGTGTAAGTTATCTTAAACTTCGAACACCATCTTTGCATGTACACATGCCGTATAAATCACTACAACTTCGTTTTCTCACACTTGGACAATTTACCGGAAAAAAAACTTTATATATATATATATATATATATAATATATATATATATATATATATATATATATTGAGTGAGTGAGTCCATATAAACCCTTTGGTTCTCCTTCTCTAGAACACACACTAAAAATGGAGTCAAGAAAAGAATCCAATCAGCTTCCATCAACAACAGATCACCTGTCAATGTTATGCAACAATGATTTCCAGGTACTGCATTTCTTTAATAAATATAACTCAATTTTCATAAATCTTTTTAAAGTATTTGAATCAATTGATGAGTACTAAGATCGGATGCATGGATTTTGTTTAACTAATTAACGACAAGCAAACTTATCATACACCTCCAAATACATGCATATACATTAAACAACTCTGGATATAGCCACGAAATGTAATATATATATATATATATATATATATATATATATATATATATATATATATATATATATATATACACATTAATACATGTGTGTGCTTAGGTGCAGTGTATGTATGTGTATAATAACTTGATACACATATTATGCTTGGTTTTATTTATTAGTTAATATTTGTGTTTGTATGTGTGTTTTTCAAATGTCATTGAAGAACATGTGTGTTTCTAATGCTTTTGTTTACTAACTAAGAAGAAAATATAAACTTGTTTCCAGAATTAAACAAACGGTAGTAAAATTCTTAATTACCATCGAAGAATATATCTTTAGTTTTTGTTCTCTTTATCATTTTATGGCATTGTTTTGAATACATGTGTTGATTTTGGGGTTTCCCCTACTAATTATAATTTCTTTATCAAATGTTCGAGTTTAGTTTACATATTTATTCATATATATTTACTACAGATGGTTATTTTTTGTATTTTGTTATTGATTATAACATGGTATTTTTGGTATATAATTAGTAATTATATAATATTTATTGAATAATTGTTTCATTAAATATTAGAATTCTTTATGAAACACAATGAGTATATCTAGAAAAATGATAGCTATTGAAGCAAACTTTAATTATAAGTGATAGAAATTTAATATAAATTTTATAATACAAAAAAGGAAGTAAACACTGAATAAAACAGATGTTATTAATTACCTTGCTAAATCTTGCATTTAATAACTATATAGTGTTGGTGCTTGTTACTATAACTATATACAATAAATCAGAGTGGTAATTATTTATGTAGTTGACTAACATTTTTGCTTAGACAACTTTTAGTATAGAAAAAAATAAATGAATCTCAAAAAATTTATATTAACTTCGTTTATGTTTCAAAAATGTAAATATATAAAACTTAAGCAGGTTCTATTCCACAAGAATTATATTATTATTTACCAATTAATTGTCACATTTTTATAATGTTTTACAAAGTTATTATGGTTTCAAATATGAAAAAAAGGAATTAATGTTTTTGTTTTCTGGATTGGAAAAATTGATCTCGTCAAAATTAAATGGTTGATGCATGTTTTTGCTCGAAGTCAATTTTGCATACCATGAAAATATTGAAATCAAATTAAAAAATTATTACTGATGTATGCAGAATCTATTAAATTTGTTTTCAATTTTCAAAATTATAAACAATTGCTAATTTTATCATGTTTATGCTTATTTGAAAACATGACCATAGAAACATAAAACAAAAACATCATCAATTAATTCTTTGACTTTGAGGAAAATTGCATAACTTTTTTTATTTATAAAACACATGAACCATGATGAAGTTCAGCAAGTCTTGAATTATATTGTATGCCCCAAATTGGGAACACACTTATAATTCTTATGATTTGAAAACACTTTTAAAGATTGTATAGTCTAAAAAGCTGGCTTAGGATTTGATTGATATGAATATACAAATCCAAGTGGTACCCAAGTTATCATTCTCACTTTTACACTTCACAACGATTATTACTACTATCTAAAAAAGAGTTAATATCCAATCAATTAATTGTGACAAAAGATAAAAATTAATGTCTAGCTACTTTAATATTATGTTCTATAATGCCCTTCTAAATCATGCATACACCCATACATATATACCATTTCCGACAGCTCTGAGATTTCAAGGAGTGGATGACAAAAATCTTCGGTAAAACTGATATAAGCTCGACATGTTGGGAAAACAAACCTTTCTCGGCATGGCATTGCCAAAGAGAGAAAATCATTTGCGCGCGCATATATATATATATATATATATATATATATATATATATATATATATATATAAGTTAAATCTTCATTTTAGTTTGGTATTTAATTGTATTTGACCCAAGAAAATTAAAGTGAGGAAAAGTGGAGTCAAATTATTTCTTGAGCTTCACACCAAAAAAGTTTTTCACTTTCAACGAACACCATCATCATCTTTTCCGTTTTTTTAAACTATTTTAAAGATTATCTTCAAACTAATAGAAATTAAAAAAGAAAGTTTCATGGCTTTCAAAAGTAATCATACACAATTATTCACATGAAGAACATGCGTTACGCCATTGCAATTTGCAATTCTTTCACTTCAGTTAGAAACGTACTTGTAATATTTTATTGCATAATACATAAAAATCAAATCTGAATTTAAAATCTTAAAAAAAAAGTATTTAATCTTGTTTAATTAAGAGTGGTGTTTATTCATTCTGATCCATTATATCATGCAGAGCGTTAAAAACAAACTTTTAAACGAGTGCACAAGAGACGGCTCCTTGGATTGGAATGGAAAACCGGCAGTAAAGCAAAAAACCGGAGGATGGAAATCCGGGATGCTCTTGCTTGGTATGTTTTTAAGTCACAAAATTCGAATTCAAACATAAGATTAAATTTGTGCTTTATGTGTTGTACCTTATGCTGATTCGTTTGTGCAGTGAATGAAGGATTAGCAACGCTTGCATTCACAGGAGTGGAAGTGAATATGGTTTTGTTTTCAAAATCTGCTTTGAGACAATCAAATGCTGAATCAGCCACCATGTTTAGCACTTGGATGGGGAGTGTTTATTTGTTCTCACTTTTGGGTGCTTTCTTTAGTGACTCATATTTGGGAAGATACCTCACTTGTGTCATTTTTCAAGTTATTTTGACCATTGTAAGTCAACCCTTTACCCCATTTCTCCATAACTTCACGAAACTTATTACATACCAGTTCGAGTCTCAACAGTTACAGCGTTAGAGATTCAATTCCAATGAGGATTTGACTATTTATTGTCATGGTTATTTTATTTACATCTCACATGATGTGATACTCATGGCAGGAGATGAAGATTTAACACGTTTTTTTGGGATTTTGTTGCAGGGTTTGGTTGCATTGTCATTGACAACTCAAGCGTTTATGTTACAACCAAAAGGTTGTGGCAAAATAGGAGAAGTATGCAACGCTCATTCTTCGGTGGAAAAAGCAATTTTCTATTTATCAATTTACTTAATTGCCCTTGGAAACGGTGGCGCCGAGCCAGCCCTTGCTACATTTGGTGCTGATCAGTTTGATGAGGAAGATCCGGAAGAAAAGAGGGCGAAAACGACTTTTTTGAGCTACTTCTATGTTGCCCTAAACCTAGGATCTTTGATTTCAGAGACGTTATTAGTTTATATTGAAACCATGGGAGAGTATGTGGTGGCTTTTTGGATATCTACAGCATGTGGTTTTATTGCTTTGATGTCGGTTTTGAGTGGGAGTTTTAGATATCGGCATTTTAAGCCTAGTGGTAATCCCATCTCCAGATTCTCTCAAGTTATTGTGGCTTCTATGAGGAAAATTAAGCTTGAGGTGCCATCTAATGGAGATGGTCTCTATGAAGATTATTCTAGAGATGAAGGTGGAACAAGGAGAATATATCACACTAATGACTTCAAGTAAGTTCGGTTTCAGATTAAACGCAATAGATAAGAACATATTTTGTTAATTTGTTTATAATAGCACATCCTACTTTCATTTTTCTATTACTATTTTGAAAAAAAAAATCTATTTCATTTTTCATTTTCCTACTTTCATTTTTCTGAGACTCGTGTATTTTACAGGTTTCTTGATCGTGCATCAATCATGACCCCAGATGATGCCCAAAACCCACACCCATGGAGACTATGCACCATCACCCAAGTCGAAGAAGTAAAATGCGTGCTAAGACTCCTCCCAATATGGCTATGCACCATACTATCATCCGTAGTATTCATACAGATGATTTCTCTATTTGTAGAACAAGGTGCTGCAATGAACAGAGAACTCTCAAACTTCCACATCCCACCCGCAAGCATGACAATCTTTGACATAATAAGCACATCCGCATTTATCATATGCTACGACAAACTCATCCTCCCTCTATACACCAAACTAACAAAAACAAAACCAAACCCTCCAACCGAGTTACAAAGAATGGGAATTGGACTTGCTATAGCCACATTAGCCATTATCACAGCTGGTTTTGTCGAACATCACAGACTAAAAAGTAAAGGACCGAAGGAAACGAGTTCTTTGAGTATATTTTGGCAAACACCACAGTATGTGTTGGTGGGGGTTGCTGAGGCGTTTACTTATGTGGCTCAGTGGGAGTTTTTTGCAGCTCAAGTTCCGGATAAGTTGAAAAGTATTGGGCTTGGATTGTCTATGTGCTCGTCCGCAATGGGGAGTTATACTAGCAGTATTATATTGTCGGTGGTTATGAAGATTACTTCGAAAGATGGGAAGCCTGGGTGGGTCCCGGCGAACTTGAATGACGGGCATTTGGATCGGTTTTTTTTCCTTTGTGCGGGTTTGACTGCGGTTAATCTTGTGTTGTTTGTTTCGTGTGCTAAGAGGTATAAGAATATAGTTGTAGAGAGAAGAGATGAAGCACGTGAAATGCATTGAATCACCTTGTGGTTGTTGTTGTTGTTCTTGTTTAAATAAGATACAAAGAGAGAAATATAACAAGTTAAATTATAGAGTATATTGCCGATTTGGTCCTTCTGGTTGGTGGTTTTATTCGGTTTAGGTCCAAAAATGAATCTTTTTTCATTTTTGGTCTCTGAGTTAACATAATGTCGTTTTATAATCTAGTTTGTTAACATTAGCTAAATTAGTAAAGATGGTTTTCACTATGATCAACTTGAGTTCTTCAGATATGATATTTAAAAACAGGAAATAAACCAACGGAATAACTCAAATGAAGCTACATCATTAATATTTATTTTTAATGATAAACCAAGCAAACTGGTTTCTTCATTTAGATATTTTTGCAGTCAACTCTCTGACCAACTTAGCAGCAACCATGCCAGTCATCCCATCAACAGTATCACGTTGTGGGTTGAACTCGACCACATCTGCACCAACAACATCGGCTTGAAGATTGTGGAGAATGTTGAGAACGTCTCGGAATGAGAGGCCTCCCGGCTCGATATGGGAAACACCAGGGGCAAATGCCGGATCAAGACAGTCAACGTCTATTGAGATATACACTCCCTTAACACCCTCTCCAAGTTTCTGGATAATAACAATAAGCAATGATTAGGATGAGTGAGCAGGACATTTACGTCTTTTTGCACAAACAAGAAATCAAGAGCAAGTCCCACTACCAGATTCTCCAAAAAGTGTCGATCTTTTGAAAATGTGCGCATTTCATATTGCTCAACTCCAAATCTTTTCCCTTGTTCACGTCCTTCACTTGTTATTGATCGGATGCCAACCTGAAAAAGGAAACAAGAATTCATAAATAAAAATATAGAAAAGGAACCAACTTTTTAGTTTAATTTGTTATACTATTTCAAAAGGAATACCTGCAAGAGACGCCTAGCATAACCACCCTCCATAATTCTAGCAAAAGAAGATGCATGTGAATACTTATTTCCTTCAAAGCAATCATAGATATCAGGATGTGCATCAAGGTGAAGAACATCCACAGGTCCTCCAAGCTTCTCAGACACAGCCCTCACTACAGGATATGATATCGAATGATCACCCCCTAAAACTAAAGGCCTCAATGGACTCTGCAAAAAGACCATATACTTTAGCATCTTTTTCTTATTAGGACATACTTATTATACTTTAAAAAATCTAACCAATTGTAACAAGGAAAATTGCTTTGTAACTAACTGGATGATATTTGCTATAACTGAGTAGATTTTCACAGAAAAACGTTGTAATATGAAGAAATAAATATAACAAACAAAGCAATGAAAGTACAGTGCTATTTCTTGTACAAGTAAAGCAGCTTACTTCTTCCATCACTAGTTTGACAGACTCACTGATGATATTCATCAATCTGTCATCATCTATTCCACAATCTCGAAGCTCTTGAACAGGAACATCACCCACATCTGTTAAAATCCTAGGATCATTCAACTCTTTCCCTGCATCACACAACATGATTAATTCATGTTTTCAAACACACCATAACACATTGTAAATGTATTTAATTATCTATACCTTCCTCTGTGGTGGCATTTGTGCTTCCACACCAAATGGCCTCTCGAATCCTAGGTGGAGCAAATGCGGGACCCTGAAGAAAGGATGAATTGTGTCCAAGAGGAACTCCAAGAAGAGATGCTGAAGCTTTAGCACCACCTAATGCACGAACTAGCTCTCCCTTGAAAAAATATATATAAAACATAATTGTCAAAACTTAAGTTATAAATGCATAATGAAATATGGACATACCTTAAGTTTTGCCCTCTCACGAATGAGTGTAAGAGATGCCTCCATGACTCGGTTCTGGCCCTTCTCTATCACATCCTTAGGAACACTGTTTAATGTGTGCAGATAATGAATTCCTCTTCTCCCCAATCTTCATCATGTTTGTTGGATAGATATCTGTTGCAGCTACAACAGAGAACAAGTTAAGCCCCGTTTGGTAGTTGCTGACTGAGAAAGTGCTGACTGAGAAAGGTCTGTCTGAGTAAGAAATTCGACCGAATAAGAAATCATATTGTTTGATTGTACATCTGACTGAACGTGCTGACCGGTGCAAAATGACCATTTTACCCTTGGTTCTATTTGCAACTTAACATACATTTTTTCATAACAAAATAGAAATATATATATATATATATATATATATATACACACACACACACACACAACATCCAAACATCAACCGATACAAATTCATCTTTTCTACATAAATAAAAACCGTAACTGCAAAAATAATAGTAGAAACTTCATTTAGCAACGACTTATCACCACCAACAAACACACGTGTATATGAAAGAAAATTGCAATTCAAAGTGCTAAATGAATGGCTTGAGTTCATCAGGTTGGCACCAAATGTAATTCCCATTACCAAAACATCTAACCAAAAGTCCATGATTGTTTCTTTATCATGGACAACAATAAATAACACACATCGACCCCACATTGTTGCAAAGCAGCAATAACCTTAGCATTGATCTGTTGAAAGTTTTGGTCAAATTACATGTTTGTAATTATAGCGCTTTGACTGTTATTTATGTTCCATATGGTAGCGTTCCTTTGTATACTCAACAATAACCTCTAGTTAATTCCATAAAACGGGAAATACCTCCCTGTCACAAATTTTTGTTTCACAAGCAGATATAAGACAAGTATCATTTCGCAATCAATAATCAACAAAAGAACTAATTCCAAATTTGATCCCTAATCGTATAAAACTAAAAAAGGTTCGACCTTTGACATATCAGCATATTGATTAAAAAAACAAAAACAAATAAGCCACATAAAATCAAAAGGAGGGAGGAAGATGGAGTACCTGGACGGCGCTGCTAGCTTCGGTGGAGAATGGAGGAGCAAGACGATGTGGTCGGTGCTGATGAAACAGAAGCCGGTGATGCAGAGGCCGACCAAGGGTGAAGAAGTCGCTGAAGAGAAATTTTGTTCAAGGAGGGGGAAAAGAAGTTTGATCGATTTGTTTGGAGGCGTCACTGGTGGAGGGTCGGCCAAGGGCGGCTCTGCTCGGTGAGAACGAAGGAAAGGGAGGAGAGAGGTGGGAGGATTTACAAGGAATGAGATGGGAACGGAAGGAAAATACGACCTTAGAGAAGGAGAAGGGCATGCGAGGGATAAAGAAGACAATCGGTCTCGGTCAGCTTCTTATTTTTTCCTTACTGGGTCAGATGTCCAAGGGCCGAGTAAGATATTTATTTGCCCATATCAAACAAGCGGATCTGACCGGGTCAGACAAAAACATCTGACCGGACCCAGCCAGATCAAAATCAAACAGCCCCTTAAATAAAATGTTTTTAAGTTGGGAACTATGCTATCTCATTTAGTTAGCCATTGTATCTCAATTTTTAACCAATTAGGTAAGAAAAAGGGTGAATTTGCAGTTTTGCTATTACTATCTAACATACGGTTGAACTGATCAGATCGTTTTGGCAAACAAATATTTTCCCCCAAAATGTTCCATTTAGATGTTGAGCAAATTCACCGATTGAACAAGTAATCAATAGTCTTTTAGATTACCTAATGTTTTAATCTCAACTATTTACTGATTAAGAATCACCACATCAAAATTATGGACAAAATTTCCCTTAAACTTTCAAAACGGATAAAGAGTTTAACTGGATCATATACACTACAAAAACAATTACACGCAATTCAAACATTAACGTATTACGTATATCTCGTCACGAAAAAAAAATCGATGTTACTGATATACATATGAATCGGTTTCAAAGGTACAGTTCTGTCTCATCTCAAAGAATTTCAACTTGTGAAAGTAAAATTAATTCCACCAAAAGAAAGAAATAGATCAACACATACGAAAAAAAACAGAGCAGACGTAAATCTAACGAAAACTATGAGAAAAACTGAAAGGATAAAGGCGTTACCCCAATAGATTAAAGCGTTATCTAGAGAGAAACTGAGATTCAGAACAGCAGCGGGCGGGTATACAGGTGAAATTTTGGAAAAAGAAAATTGAGGATTGATTATCTGATATGAAGATGGTGTTTATACATGTGTGTGAGTGTATTGGGGGTGTGTGTCTGCGTAAGTTATTGGCGCAATTAAAAAGAATTAGGAAAGTGGAGTGTTTGGTGATATTTTTTTAAGGAAAGTCGAAAGAAACAACAAATGGATTAATTGTTGAGGTGGGCACCAAGGGGAATGTTTTTTTTTTTTCATATTTAAAAACTAAAATATAAAATTTAAATTTTGGAAATCAAATCCTTGAGTTTGTATTGAAAAATGAGTTGTATGAAATTATTCAAGTATCTAAATGAATTATTTGTGTTGTATTCTTTACAATCATTGAAGATATCTAGTCTTATTCATATACTATCAGCTAGTGAAGTCACACTCCCGAATCTTGTAACAAGTTCCCTGGAGTAGTTGGTATACGGACTTGCATTAAATGAATAAAATTTTGGGACTTAATTGCAACTTTCAATAGAAAGCGTTTGTGTGTTTACTGTTGATTCTATTGCAAACATTTTTTTCTAAAAAAAATGAAAGTACTTTCTACAAAAGGTTGATATAGTACGGACTTGTCAACCGGGGGCGGAGCTTGAACAATTTATTTGGGGCCGAAAGTATTATAAACTAGAATTAACGTTTAATCTCTTGATTTTCATCATGAATTTCTTCATTATCAACCTTTCTTTTGAAGAAAGAATGAATGATTTTCATATTTCCTATGATTATATCTATAAAAAATTAAAATAAAAAAACAATTCATTCAAAATCAATTAATCAGCTATTCAGTCCTTTAACTTATATCACATATTAGATTAGCATAGGCAAATAAGCAATGCTCATCATTCATTACTAATTAGTTGAACCAAGAAGTAAGAAGAGAATATTTAACAATGTGTAATTAAGTTGATTCCTAAAATTCCAACAACAATCAAATATAGAGGATAAGTTCATTTATCGAGTCAAAGAACTACATGAGAGTTTAATCTTCCGTATTTGTAAACGCATCCCATACTAGGCTCGTATCATGTCATGAGCCCAAGTGTAGAACTCACTCCCAAAAGCTAACTTGAAAGAGGAGGGGACACCTAGACTTATAAGCCACCAACTTATAGTACTTTTGGTCGATGTGGGATCATAACAAGTTTTTTTATTTTGAATAAACATGAAACCTCCATTTTTCCTTACGTTAACTTATCTCTTTCACAAGTTATTTTCAAAATTTTAAGATTGTATTCAACTTTCATTCTATAATCATATTCTATATATTCAGGTTTAACAATTCAGTCTATTGATGTCAATCCAATCATCAACTTTATTGTATAATAGTTTAATTTACTTATTTTTAGATCCCAGTATAAGAGAAAATAACAAAAATAAGAATTGTTATTAAGTTTTTTTTACAAGAACTAGACAAAAATTAAGAATATTCCCCCACCAACCATCAATTTCGTTGTGCCTCACTGCGAAATATTGAAAAGGCACAACAAAAGCCACAAAAAATCAACAACATTTCGTAATGACCCTTACAAAATGAACTGATATCTAATGATTTTCTTTTTCATTTTACATTAATTTTTCTTGTAAAAACTCTCAACCTAAGACTACGTTTTTCTTCAATCCGAATCTTGATTTTTTTTTTCTTTTTTTGAGAAAATGGTCTTTGAAGATCATCACCGCAAAAAAGAACTTCAAAAAATTGTTCTTTTAAAAATTGATTTCATAAAAATATGAATGAGTTCGTAAAATAAAAAAAATTCTATGCTTTTTTGGTTCCGTACCATACAAAACTACCACCAGTTTGGAGGTTTTTTATAACTTTATAGTCCAAGTAAATTCATATATTTCATTTTATTATTTGCTAGTGTCCACAAACAATAAATTTTGTTTAATATATTAATCGAATTTCAAAACCATTAATACTCTTACGTGTAAATAAATTGGATTCATTTAAACCACAAAAAAACAAGGTATATTAATTTCAACAAAATATGTGGATGTTACATCTTGTGTTTAACGAAAAAACAAAGTTGGATTGCAAGTTTGAAATTTTGCAAGTCATTTTCTAATGTTTTGGAAGAACAAATTGGAACAACTACATGAAATCAATAAAATACAATTTTAAGTTCAATTAAATACAATAATATTCTATTATATGGAAAGAAATAGGCTTGCAAATAATATAAGTGACACATAAAGAAAAACGTAGATCTTAAACTTTAAATTTACGATTAAAATAAATAATTCAAAATTTTCAAAATAGGTCAATATAATTTTAAATGGGTTGGATTAAAAGTTTAAAACAATTGATTGAGACATTGAGTCATTGAGATAGGCCGAATAGGAAAAGCCCAATCGATTGTAAAATAGATTTAAAAAAAATATATATGAATTTAATATAAAGCAACAATGATTCTTCTCTCTCCTAGGGTTCCATCCATTTCAATCAACCTCAAATCTCGTATTCTTCTCCATCTTCCTATATCTAGAACGTACTATAATCGGCAAAAAACAGGCATGTACTCATCATCTCTCCGGCAGATATCCGGCGAAGTCTCTGATTAGGTATTTTCCGATCTACCTGGGCTTTATTCTCTTTACTACAACAAAATTAGCACTTTCTTTGCTGTGTTACCTTTTGGTGTCGGTACTTTAGAATAGAATTCGAAATTGATACTTTTGATTAGCTCTAGAGTGGTGTAAACTTGTATAGTCGTAAATTGCATTGAGAGCATCATCAGTGATTAGTTGACAACTAGTGGTAATTATATGAATCTAGTCTCGTGTTTGGGATCGGAGGTGGATCTAGGAGTTTTCGCTACAAGTTATACTACTTAAGTAATTAGAAAAAAAGATAAGAAGTTTGAACTTTAAAAAACAATTGCACTACATTAAATGGTTAACCTAGTTCAGAGATTGAATCTAAAAGAAATTGACATTAAAACGAGAAAGACAACTACATTTTCACATTGCAATTTGAAAGTTCATCTTCTGTTTCTTCCCAGAATTCACCTGTTTGGTAATTTCCAAACATTGAGGAAAGGTGTTCAATTTAAAGAAGTTACTGACATTTTATCTAAGCTATTATAGGCTGTTAGTCATATTTCTTTTTTATGCATCCTCCCTCATTGTGACATAGATGTGCTGGGGTTTTGGGTTAGTGGTTTTGATGCAAAACTTGAAAGTTCTACTGTCTATGTTGACATGATGTGGCGTCCAAAGTTGCTACTCTGTTCCTAAAGAAGATGCTGAATTCATTTTTTTTTAATTAGGAACTGGGCCTGTCTTCACCTTTTCATGTACTCTGTTAACCTTGATGTATGTATTTCATCCCCAATTTGCAATACTAGGTGAATTTTGAAGTTGAAAAGTAGTCGACTTTCACCAAGGTTAAAAAGGCCGTTATAGTTTAGAAACAAAGGAAGTTATATTGAATTACATTGGTTAGAATAGATTAAAATGGAAGAATTTCTTTTCAACCCACATAAATGACTTTATTTCTGACTGACACTAATATCTTCAATCAGTTCAATGTCTTAATGTAATTTTTTTGACCAAAAGCAATTTTGTAGGTTGAAACTATTATGGTTGCTGGGGGAATCCAACTACCATTTACCAGTTTCTTGATTTTGCAGGTATAAATATATAGCTACTTTATTCCTACTTCTTTGGGGTGTTATATTTATTTATGTAATGATTATCATCTTTTAGGCGATTGGGTGGGGGACCCACATACCATCCCTTCCATAGGAAGTAACTATGCAACTTGGTGGAGCAAAAGACTCCCAAATCCGTGACAGCAGTAACCCGAAGGTCCACCCTCAACCTATGGAAGAAACTGCAAACCAAAACCCTGAAGCTGTTGAAGCTTTAGTCTCAAAAATATTCACAAACATTTCATCCTTAAAATCCGCTTACATCTGCCTTCAAGCTGCCCACACCCCATATGACCCTGACAAAATCCAAGCTGCAGACAAACTCGTAATTTCAGAACTCAAAAATCTATCAGAACTCAAACACTTTTATCGCGAAAACAACCCCAGACCCACTTACATTTCTCCACAAGACTCCCGTTTGGCTGCAGAGATTCAAGAACAACAAAGCCTCTTAAAAACATATGAAGTCATGGTGAAGAAATTCCAATCCGAAATCCACAACAAAGATTCCGAGATTGTACAATTACAACAACATATCCAAGACGCGACTCTCAAAAGGGCTAAACTTGAAAAGAATCTAAAGCTGAGGGGGCTATCGTCATCTTCGAAAGATTCCGAGGGGGGATCGGTCGATGGAAATGAAAATATTCCCGTATTGTCCCCCGAGCTTTTTAAGTCCGCTGTTGAACTTGCTTCTAAGGCAATTCATGATTTTTCAAAACCGTTAATCAACATGATGAAGGCTGCGGGGTGGGACCTTGATGCTGCTGCGAATTCTATAGAACCGGATATTAAATACGCGAAACGGGCCCACAAGAAATATGCGTTCGAATACCATATTTGTCAAAAAATGTTCACCGGTTTTCAACAAGAAAATTTCGGTTTAAATGATGAAAACAAAAACAAAGACAAAGACAAAGAAACGTTCTTTCGTGAGTATCTCGCGTTACGTGACACGGATCCGCTTGATTCGGTGGGGCAAGACCCGGATTCGGAATTTGGGAAGTTTTGCAGGGGTAAATACGTAATTGTGGTGCATCCGAAAATGGAAGCTTCGTTTTTTGGGAATTTGGATCATAGGAATTATATAATGGGAGGAGGGCATCCGAGGACGCCGTTTTATCAGGCGTTTTTGAAACTGGCGAAAGCGATTTGGGTTTTGCATTTGTTGAGTCATTCGTTTGAGCCTGTGATAAAGGTGTATCAGGTGAGTAAAGGGTGTGAGTTTTCAGAGGTTTATATGGAAAGTGTGGTGAAGAATTTTGTGGTGGATGAAAGTGGTGAGAAGCCGAAAGTTGGGTTGATGGTGATGCCAGGGTTTGGGATTGGTGGGAGTGTGATTCAGTGTCGGGTTTATTTGACTGGAATCAAGGAGATTGAATAGGAGATGTGTTGTATTGTTTGAAGAAGATGTCTTGAAATTTGTAGTAAGATGAAATATGTAAAAGGGTATGTGGGTTGTGATGTGTTTGATGTTGTTTTTCATAATATATATATTATGTGGTGCTGGTTATGAATGAGAATGAAAATAGTATGTGTTGTATTTGTAACAAGTTCTTGTGTAAAAATTGCTCTTTGTCGTGAGATTCCATTTGATGACTAACTTGCCCTTACGTTGATTATTGCAGTTTGAGAAACTGTTACTGATATGAGATTAGGGGAGGAAGAAAACAAATGTTGAATGATCAAATTGTCATTAAAATCATTTATCCTACTAGTAGGAATGTAGGATAATGTCATCTAAAGAATTACGCACTTGTTGTCTATAGAGTTATGGAGTATAGAGTATATATAGAGTATAGGCTTGTTATTGGTAGAACAATATTCTATGTGGGCCGAACGCTTGGATCAGACTGGGGTTGGTCAACAAGAAACATTTCTAATCAAATTAATTTACTTAATAAATTTTAAATGTCAAGTATAATCACAAAAAATTGTTTCCTCGTCGCAGTAATCAAGTCATTAAAGAAAGCAATATACCTCTAAAATAAATAAGGGTCCATGATGCAAATGTTAAAATGCACGTTTAGTTATTATTTTTTAAAATTAACTCGAACGGTTTCTCGTTTGTTTTAAACTTACACGTTTCATCCCTATTGACATGAAATAACTATTTTGTCTTTAATAATTTCATTTTTCATTTTTCTTTTATTTCTCGAGTTTTAAATTTAAAAAAAAAACAAATAACCCCACCCATCCCCTTCCATTTCCCTAGTACAATAAGATTCTCAACATATTACCCGCCACCACCTATCACCGCCAGCCCTCCGACACCACCTCCTATCACCGCCAGCTCTTCCCCACCACTTGTCACCGCCAACACCTCATCCGATCAACCCTTAATTTGAAAACCTTGTACATGCCTTCTTCCTTGTATATGAATATGCCCCTGCAATGTTCATCGTCTTCTCCACCTTGCACATGCTATCATCTCAGCCATGATGGAGGCATATTTATCTGGACATCTTTCAAAACCCAAACCGATGTAGATCGATGGCATCTGTCGAAACCCTAGCTGACGCCGATGACGACACACATGTGATGAAACCCTACCCGACTGAGATCGGCTGCAGCGCAAAGGTGACAACGGAGATCGTTGGCAGCAGCCGGAGAAGAAGGAGAAAAAAGAGGAGTATTCATATTGGAGGAGGAGAGAGAGTGAGAAAGCGAGAGAGTATTCTGATCAGAGAAGAAGGACGAGAGAGAGCGCGCGAGAGAGAGAGAGAGAGAGAGAGAGAGAGAGAGGAGCACTATGATCCATCGATGGTGGTGGGCGGTAGTCTGACAACTCTCTTCTCCGGCGAGATAGTGTCTTTTCCGGTAAGACTCTCTTCTTTGGTGGTGGTGGTGATGATTGTTGGTGGATCATTGGTGACTTATAGGAAAGAGAGTTTAAAAGGAAGGGATTATGATGATGTAACATCCGAAAAACTATAAGGTAAAAATTTCATTTTTAGTTTATTTTAAAGCATCCAGTAACCATGTCAAAACAACCAAAAGTGTATCATACTGAAGTAATATCAGAGTACAAATCTCAAAACCACATAATGCAGAAAACATGGGTAGATACTAGATACGGTGCGATCAATCTGGACCCTCCCCTTTCGGTCTGGAAGTACCTGAAACATAAACTGAAAACCGTAAGCACAAAGCTTAGTGAGCTCCCCCAAAATACCAAATACCATACATACATAACAGTCAAGCATATCTGGGTGCTTGCAATCCCCTTCGGTCTATTTCAACCGGATACAATCAAGCATATATGGGTGCTTGCAATCTCCTTCAGTCTATTTCAATCGGATACAATCAAGCATATCCGAGTGCTTGCAATCCCCTTAGGTCTATTTCAACCGGATACAGTCAAACATATCTGGGTGCTTGCAATCCCCTTCGGTGTATTTCAACCGGTATCGGGTCTATGTCACCCTACCACTACCACATAATATCATAACAAAAGAATCACAAAGTCATCAAGCAAATACATGCATAACTGACAATTGTCACCAAGACAGTCATTATACTACATTATAAACTAGTGGGCCGACATTGGTGAATTCGACCCATGGATACAGTGAAGGAAACTCACCTGAGACTGAATGTATCAAATCACACTCGAGCTGCTGACTCGCAAATCCTCTCACTCTAAATCACAAGTAAAATATACCCTAATTAGAAATTAGGTCAATAGCCCACCACGAGGGTCCCAACCTTAAATCCTATCTTTAAGGGAAAAAGTTACTTAATCCTAGCCTTACTGGGCCTAACCCACCAAGGCCCACATACAATTAGTCCTAAGGCCCAAAAGATATGCCATGAAAAAAATGGGTCCAAGTCTAAAATCCCATCACAGAATAACTCACAGTCCAATAATGGCCCAAAGTCCTTAAGCCCCAAAACGGCCCGAAATAAAGCCCAAGTCTTCCCTCTAATGAGTATGCTCAACGTACCCTCGGAGTACGCCCGACGTACTAAAAACCCTTGCAACATCGGGACCTTCGGCACGTACGCACAACGTACATATGCGTACACCCTACGTACGCCCCAGATGACCAACTTCCATTTTTGAGGTCTTAATCGGTTAAGACATAACGTCTAACTTCATATCTAGGCCCCTTATAATGTAGTAAGCCAAAAAGTTGCCAACTTTATGATTTTGGATGTCTTAATGGGACCCAAAACCCGTTTTTATCCATCTAAACTTATAATATAAACATCAACTTAAGCATGATTCATCAAAATCCATCAAGATGATATTTTTATGGTTCCTAGTAACTCCATAATGGATAAAGTTTCCAAATTTATCCATTAGAATGGTCCAACCAACCAAGATCTAGTCTTTAAGTCTCAAAGGGACCAAAAATGCATCTTTTCCAACTTAATTCATTAAGTCCAAGTCTCAAGCTTTTAGATCTGAATCAATATGATGTTTAGATGGATAAAGTTTCCAACTTTATCCATAACAAGGTCACAAACTTTCAAGATCTAAAATTTATGCAGTAAAGTGGCCAAAAGCTCATAACACCCCGAAACCTAGCTAGATCTAACAAATGCATCATCAAGATTTAAGCTTTATACCTCTAGAAGAAAGTTCAAGGAGAGCAAAGTTTGGATCTACAAGCTCTAATGCAACCAACACTTCTATAATGAGTTCTTTCTTCTCCAAGGTGCACCAAGAAAACTCCAAAGCACTTAAAAACACCTTATTTTTGCTCGCAAGGCTCAAACTAGGGTTAGGGTTTCAATAGAGGTTATTGGAGAGGTGGAGGCTGAGAATGGAATGGGTTTGAGGGAGTTAATGAGCTTAAATAGGACCCAAACCATGGAAATAGGGTTTGGGCACTGATCGCGTACATACAACATACTCAATTTACTTACAACGTACTAGGGATGCCCTAGTACGCTCATCGTACATGTTGAGTACGCCCAGCGTACGCGACTCAACCCAAAACTGTCCTAACTTCAAACGGTCATAACATCTTTGTTTCAACTCCGATTTCGACGATCTTTATATCCACGGAAAGGTGTTGAGAAGCTCTAAAACCCTATCAACTCTCCTTTGACTTAAAACTTACCGAACTTAAATCCAAAATTCATAAAAGGCTCGAACTATCACTTGACGGTTATACCTTTGGGCTCCAAAGCACCAACCTAACTCTCGGATCACCAAATCTACATTACCCACATCCAAAGTTGTCTAAATCTCTCTTTCCCCTAAGGCCCGAGACCTTATGATAACGGGTCTTCGGGTCACGGCCCCAGATTATGAAACGATTCGAAACAAGGTATTACAGAGAAGGTCGGTGGGGTCGGATTTTTATTTTATTTTGTATTTTATAAATTACTATAAATAATAAGAATAATAATAATAATAATAATAATAATAATAATAATAATAATAATAATAATAATAAAGGGTAGAATAGACATTTCACGTTTCACAAAGGATGAAACGCGAAAATATAAACTAACGAGGGATGACATGTGCAACTTTTAACCAAACGAAAGACGGTCCGAGTTAATTATTTGAAAATAGGAACTAAACATGCATTTTGACACATAAGGGATGATTGGTGTAAATTAATAAGACAAAATTACATAAATGTCTCTATGCATTGATGAAATAGACACTTAGGGTACAACTTCAAAAGCATGAAAAACTTCCATTCTAACACACCACATAAAGAAAATGCCATTAAATTTGTAAATTGACATTTTTAACATTTTTATATTTTTTGTTTTTTTATATAAATGTTTTCTAAACTATAAAGACCATTAATATATATATATATATATATATATATATATATATATATAACATTTGTAACTAGTAACTTATCATTTACATCCCATATCAATTCTATTTCTCTTGTATTGTAGCTCAATGTATTACCCTTTCCCGATTTCCCTTCAAATCCAAAAAAAACATGAAAACTATGATGGTTGTATGTGACATCCTAGAATTTAGGTCTAAAACTATAGACATTTAATTCACCGCGAGCCTCTTTGTAATTTGATCTATTGAGCTTTAAACATATTTTGAATAATATATAGTGTCATTACAACTATTATAAGATACCAGATGATATCTTACTTCCAATTGTGGAAAACTCAAATGAAACAAACAGCTCAAACTGCAACCCTAGTTAATACGTCTGAAAAACTTAAATTTCATATTAAGCAGTTGTGAGAGAAACAAACACTCTATTCTCGTAGTACATGTTCACCTGTTTTCAAAGATATAAAGAACGTCCAAAACGAAGTTCGTATGCAAAATATATGTCAGTTATAACTTATAAGAAAACACACCAGTAAAACATGATTTTCTTTAAACTGTTAAACCAGAATTGATCCGTTGAGGCACTTGCACACCTCAGATAGGAATTTCGAGGACGTTTTTGGACTTAGACTGTGGTATAATATTTAATTTCATACTAAAAATGTTTTTATTAAAAACATTTGCAAAAGTCGAAAAATCAGACGTTTCGGGTAATTTAGACGTGAAACTTTAAACACGATCCCGGAGTTCTAGGATCCAAAAAAAGAGCCACATAGCTCAATATCATCATACTTACGTGCATTATTAACCACTCTGATTGTGGAGGAGGTACTAATATTGTGGGTTTACGTATTTTAGTTAAAAGACCCAAAGTAGCAAAGCCCTGGGTAAAAATAGTACTTGAGGCAGTTATTTCGGTTAAATAATTTACAACTCGAAAAATTAATCCGTTTGAGTTTTTGGAATCTTTGAACTCTACTCTATCATATGACACTTTCGAAAAAAATATTAGGTGTCAGGATTTGGCATGCAAATCTAGAAGCATTTTTTGGACTTTTGGCTATGTGTGACATCACCATGTCCCACCATCCTTGTATGGAGTCCAAAATCATCAAAATCTACCCTCCCCCACTCCCTACCCATGTTCCCAACCCCTTTTCCCTTCCCTTCCCTTTCTTCTTTGGAGTATACACTTCATAGATACAAATGATGGCCCTTTGTGTGTGTAAGTATCTAAGGAAGTAAGGCTTGCATGGCTTGCCTTGGGGACTTGCTAGAAACTATATAAGTATAGCTTGGGCTCTCATTCTCATCACCAATTCACCATCCATTAATCCCTTACTCTCCCTTCTCAATTCTCTCTCTTTTCTTGGATTGAAAACCACCACCAAAAACCACCACTCCACCACCATAAACCACCTTAGCCACTTTCTTTTGCCACTAAAATTGATTCTAAATTAAGTTAAAATCTAATGACATAAAAAATAACTGATTAAACTTTAGTGCTACATAATAATTTGTATGACATAAAAACTATCATTATTAGTTACATTTTATATAGTTATGGCACTAAAAAATATGAATTTAGTGACATAAAATGTTAAGCGCCATTAAATCCATTAAATTTTAAAATGACATACAAATTATGCTACTAAAAACATAATATAATGACTCATCAAACATATGACATTAAAAAAGTATGCCAATAAATATCATTTTATTTGGTAATGTTATCCACGATAAATGATAGACTCTTCTGTAGGGCTACCATTAACTAACACCGAAGCCATTGAGGAGAATACATGTGCTCTGATCCAACGGATACATTTGTCATCAAACCTAATATGTCCCATAATTTGCATAAGATAATCCCAACTAATTGAGTCACATGTTATTCTAATTTCATAATCATTGAATCGTAAGTAATCTCATTCCACCATCATTAATAAATTCCCTTGTTCTTTGTTTCCAATTTTATTTATGATTATTCAATTAATTTGTTAAAGCATTTTTCCCAATAAATCCATCAACTATAATAACATACCCGTCATTAATTATACCGTATCGGGTATTCACTCGTGATTATAAAGAAAATCCGATTTTTTCGACACCAAACCATTCAATTTCAGTAGCCTATCTTCTATAGTATACTGTAATTACGAAATGAAAAAAAAAGAAATAACTGTTGCTATCATGTTCGATGTTCTACCTAATGTTTTAAAAATCGTGTTTTTATTCAACCAGTTTGGTGGTTGGTTGTGGTTTAGCTGCTTTGTTGTTTTTATTCAACACCAAAAAGCTTCATAACATTACCAAACAAAATTAAAAAGCTTCATAACATATACCATTTTTAGTAACAAAACCACACCACTTAAGCTATACATAAAAACTTGTAAAAAATCCAATACTAAACTTTCTCATTTTGATGGTCCACAAAAGTTTGCCAATATGAGCATTAGAAATCAAATCAAATGTTATATGATTATCTCATATTCAAAGGGTTCTAATATTCATCTTCTAGAATTGCAAAGAATGGATCTACAAATGGTTATCAAACAAAAGATGTATACATTGATAAAAGAAGTCTAAATAAATGTGAAAAATACCACAAAGTCCAGTTTCAACGATTTAATATGAGGTTTGATTTAAACGATTCAACCAAAGTTTTGTAAAAAGATGATGGTTTGTTCTTGTCCAATAATAAACATAAAATCAGTGTTAGTTGAACTGCTTCATTCCATGGTATCTGGCCCGACCGGCTTGTTGAAACAGGTTTTTAAAACACTGGTTTCGACTGCTACTTTAGGATTGATTGTTCCATTCATCACTACCATACCAGTATGGTACATTCCATTTAATGTATGAAAATTCAAAAGAACTGTATGTTCCTTAATCTCTAGATTAATTGCAATTAGAATTTCATCGATATCCCAAATGGCCCTATCCATGACATTGCAAATTGAATTCTATTACCAAGAAATTCCAATTAGTTTTCTACTTCAACATAGGGCGGTTCGGCAAAACTAGCGGGTAGCGTTTGATTTTGGAGCGTTTTGTTGAAAGCTACTCCATGTAGCTTTTGATTTTGGAGCGTTTTCTTAAAAGTTAGAGCTCCCAAACGCTGCGTGCCGAACACGCCCATAATAAATTGCAATTTTATTGGAACATGATCTCTATAATCATGGAAACTGGATGATAAGATCTCATTATTATAGGCAAAAAATAATTAATTATTAGTTATTAATTAATTATATTGCAAAATTACACTTATGCTCTTTTATATATAATTATAGAATTTTTTTTTGACCATCATATCAATATCATTGAAGACTTCTCATGTTGTCCATACACATATTTGGTTGCATCCTCAAGTGCTCACAAGTGTGGCCCCGTGCTTCTTCATTATCCGAGTTGACTGCAGAAGAATATCTTGCTTCACTAAATCTAATTTGTTGTGTTCACACTGTATAATACGACACAGAATTAGCTCAACAAAAATTTGGATAAAATTCATAAGCTCAACATCTAGCATCCTACTTCTACTTATTTGTATATTAATTATGGCATCCTCCTAGTATTTCTTTTTATTACAACTGTTGTACCTTTTAAAAAAAAATTTATTAAGATATTGTATTAAAAAAAAAGCATACCCGCTAATAACATTCTTCTTTCAATACTTTTTACTTATTAGGATTTAGGACACTATACTTGGACATATCTACACATTTATGGCAATGAAAATTGCTTTTAGACTATTAGTTAAAGTCCAAAATACCATCAATGACCAAAAAACAAAATGAACCCTGTGGAATAAAATCAATACGATTAATCCTTCATAATGATTGCATAAACAAATAGGTAACTCCATAACTTTAGCTTGATTTTTGACAAAAAAAAAAGGGGGGGGGGGGGGGGGGGGGGGGGTTGCAAATAATATGGAAAATCTTAAAATGGGCAGGTTTTCTAAGATGACTGAAGCATATACAACATTTACTTTTCTTTTCACAAAGTTTAAAAGGATGACTCTTTATGATGCATCAGGGACATTACAAAATATTAACTAGAATGATTTTGGTCCTTAAATTATCTTGCTTTGTCCATTAAACTATGTGTGTAGTAAAAAAAAATTATTTGCAAACATTTGATACAATTAAACAAGAGTCCCAGACGAAACTTTAGATCAAGGATATAATTACAAGCTCCAAAAAATCAGAACAAAATATTTTACAATAAAAGAAATCTCGGTTCCATCCAATTCAATAAAGTGTATTCTTTCTAGCAAAAAATTCTCTTTTTTCCTATCAGAATCTACTACGTGTGGGAGAAATATCAACTTTAAGATCATAAAACTACATTATTATTATATTCACAATTAAATATCTCTCATTATATTTATAGCAATTATAACTTGCTAATAGTAGATAGCATATAATTAATAAAAGGGTTACATGCAAGAAATTGCAATGCACTTTCACTGATTACAACATTGTACTTTGAAAAATCAACCGGACTATAGCTATGTTATCCATGTGCAAAGCAACTTTGACTCATATAATAAATGCTATTATCAAGTAGATTTAAAGAGTATAATGTCTTAATAAGAATTTTTTTAAAGTAAAATGTTGTAATATAGAAAGAGATGAGATAATACACAATTAAATGAAAGTAGAATATTGTTGTTTCTTGCATTTAACTATTCATAAAACGTGCACATAAAATAGCAACTTCAGTGAAGCTACTTCATGCGTTAAAATGTTTGAGGAAGTATACATACCATTTGTTTTAGATTGTATACAAGAGTAAGCTCTACACGATGAGATTTCCATCCAGAAATATGACAATACGGACGCCCTATCTCCAAATATATGTTTGAGTTAGATCCCATCATTTTCTTTATTTCCTTAGTTATCTTGTGGATCTTGCTATTCTCGTAAATGTTAAAAGAAATCTTGGAAACCAAGGCCTGTATTTGTTCACAGCTAACTATAAAAAGACTTTATATCATGAATGACAAAAAAGCTTTCAAGTGTAGTGATCAAAGACTCGATGCTCACCTGACCACGAATGGAGTGATATGGAACTAGTGTGGTGTCATGTGATTGTTCCCTAATAAGCTATAAAATAAACTTTATTACGACAAAAAAAACTTTCAAGGGTAATGATGAAATACTCGGTGAACTCACCTGTTCCCAAAACCAGTAAGTTGGAATTCTAAAACAGTTTTCTGCAGTAAGCAATGAGGTGGTTATGGGTCCCGTCTCAATAACTTGACCTTTCAAACATCCAACCTTGAGCCCAAAACACTAGAAATAAGAACAAATTCATACGAGTGATTAAATAAACAGATAACTTATTTAACATACTTCTATTACATCTCCAATCGAAATGGGTTTCTCAGGTAGTATTAGAAACCCTAACATAATCATGAGAATAATGCATCTTGCAACAAAAAAAACCAAAGCCCCTAGAAGGATATAGTCACAAGCCTTCGATTCCAAAACTCCTGAAATAATACACATTTTGATAGATTTATTAGTGGTATAACTTGATGTATTTTCATTAAAAAGGGGAATGGGCATATGATAAATCCAATAAACCTACCTTCAATCCCTCCCCTAGTTGAAATAAATTGCGGAACAAACTCCCAAGTTTTAAGTAAAACCAAACCAATAATACCATCACCAAGCAAGCGAAAAGGTACCACAGTACCACTATCTTCAGGTACTTGAGATCTTGAACACGTTGCATCTTTCGCAGAGGTTGATGAATACACACGATGTTTTAATTTCAACACATGTGTAGTTGATACAGGAGGTGAAATATTTTGGAGATGTAAGTTTGATAATCGACGTGGGATTAAGTTGATTCTTTTGCTTAAACAGGTATTATACATCGGAAAGCAAGATCTTGACATCATCAAGCTAATTCCGTTCATGGTTTAATCCTGTACGTAAATTAATCAGTAGCATCAAGAAAAACAGTTATCACAAATATAAATTCTGGCATGTTCACTGTAGACATGTAAAACAGGGGAAAGGGGTTTAAGTCTCTGTAGCAATGGAATAACTTAAACGCAACATGCCATTCCAAAGCAAAATGTCTAAGTATTTAAAATGTTAAACGTTGGATTGAAGTGAAATAAATACGACAACAAACTAAACATTCTAATATCACCATACTGATTGTTTCCTTTAAATTTAAAAAAAAAAAAAAAAAAAAAAAAATCTGCATGCAAACACGATACTTGCAGGTACAGTACTTGCATTGCAACAAGATCATAAGCATATTGTAATCGAGAAAAACACAATCAATCAACTAATTTCGATTTTAAACCAGATAAAAAAAATTATTGGAGCATCCACAGTTCAAAATAGAAAAAAAAAATGACAGATTAAACTACCGGATAATTTGACACAGATAGAATCTAAAAACATAAACAGAAAAAGGAAAGCACAAAATACAGAGAAGACAAACCAGGAGGCGTTGCGGAGGATGGCAGTCGTGGTGGCGGTCGATGCGGCGGCGTGATCTGAAGGGAGGAGCTTACCGGTCGGCGTCGTGAGTTATTTGAACGTCGTCGCTAAAATGAGAGAGACAGACAGAGGAGTCGCAGTAAGTGGTAAAAGAAATTCAAATTAGGGTTTTAACCGTTCTGTAGTCAAGTGAGTCGTTGATTTATTATTATTATTATTATTATTATTATTAGTATTATTTTTTACTTTCTCGGTTCTTGATTAAATGAACCAATTAAGTTTTTTTTTTTTTTTTCTCTTAATAAACAACAAAATATCATATTTATTCAACCTAAATATATATATATATATATATATATATATATATATATATATATATAGATATATATATATAATATATATGATCAAATGAGAACACCTAAAAGGTTGAGAACGCGAGAACAGTTCTAGACCAATCATTTTATAAGGGTATATTAATAACTTTATATAAATATTAATTAATGATTTCCTAAATCTAGGGATAAGGATTTGAATTACCTAACAAATTAATATTTCCTTTTAGTTAATGAAATATATATAAATATTTTTTTAATGATTTTTCCCAAAAATTATTTATGACCGTTTCAAAAAATTACTAAAAAAATTAATATTTCCTTTTATTTAAATCTGAAAAGAAAATCTTAAAAAAATATTATTTTCTATTATTTCACGTTTTTGTTTTTCAAAAAAAATGAATAGAAATCCAATCCCAAATCAATACACTTCCAATCATAAATGAAAACACATCAAATTACAAATAATTCAATGCATTTTTCATAAATTGAAAATAAAAAATAGTGTAAAAATTATCATTTTTTCATAAAATGAATACCTCTAATCGAAAATAAATACACCCATTCACATGAATACACTACTATTCATAAATAAATACATTCATTCACACACGAATACATTGCAATTCACAAATAAATACACTATTATTTATAAATTAATACACATTCTATCATAAATGAATACACATGCTATTCATAAATGAATACAACCATTCACATATAACTACAATGTTATTCATAAATGAATACACGTGCTATTCATAAATAAATACAACCATTCACGCACCCCCTTCAAGAAATTATTACCAAAAAATTCGAAAATTAGGATTGTGTTTCTTTCTTTGCCTCTGTTCTTCAGAAATTTTTCCATTTGGTCCTCCCATTGCAACCATTCTACCTCCTGAACACTCAAGCAAAGATTAACACTCAAACAAAATCAACACTCCACGGTAAAATCAATATGTATAATTATAAAATCTTTTTGTGAGATATGGATGATCAAGAAAACAAAATCCCACCGATTCACTGTAAACATCAACACCCAAATATCCATACCTCATCAGTTTCTATCAAAACAAACAAAGAAAAGGAATTTTCGTTGTTCTTCTTTTCATCTCTATCAATTTCTGTCAAACAACCAAACCCAAACACCCATCTAAACCTATTTATTAAACTTCATTGATTTACAGTCAAAATAAAAAGAAAAGAGAAGAGAATCATTACCGATCGAAGCAACTGCCCCATCGAGACCCCTTCCCTCATTCCAGTCGAGACAGAAGAAGCGCCCTCCAGCCGCCATTGCTGTTTTCATTTTCTCCTCTGCGAAACAGTGAAGCACCGGAGATGCTTCTCCCACCCAACGATTGATTGCCTCCCCTCCTCGTGGCTGCGTGACCACCGAACAGCCCATCCGCTCATCTTCTATCGACTGGAGCAAAGCACCCACCAAGACCGACGACTCACACCTCACAGCCGGAAGAGATGAGCAAAACTTCGCTGCTTCTTCACGCCCAGCGATGCTGGAATGAGAGGAGGCCCTAGGGTTGTGAAAAATGCAGAAGCAGGGATATAGAGGGAGAGATACGAGAGAGAGAGAGAGAGAGAGAGAGAGATTGTAGGAATTGCTAAACATAGGTAAACAATCAATTACCATTTTACCCTTATGACAGTTTTAAAGTTACACTTTAATTCCTGTAATTTTAAGAATTTACATAAATGGCTCATTCGATAATAGCCTCAGATTTAGTTTTTTTAAATGGTTCAGATGTGTTCTCGCGTTCTCAACCTTTTAGGTGTTCTCATTTGATCCTACTCATATATATATATATATATATATATATATATATATATATATATATATATATATATATATATATATATATACCCTTAATAAGATTTCAAAATATCATATTTGCCAAAAAGGAAATATGCGGAAAAATCTCAAAGTTTTGCCTTTATGATTTAGTCATAAATTAAACTTTGTTAACGAAAAATAATAGTTATCGGCTATTATAGTCACTTTAGCCCTTTGATCAGGTAAAACCTTTGATTTGTCGGTTACCCAAGTTTAGTCGAACTCCAAGTCAATAAATGAAAGATACATGTGGATATTTTGCTCTTATATATGGGATATGTTCGTGTAAAACCCTAGCAGAAAAAGTTTTGGCCAACAATGACATCTTCAAGCTCAGTTGGAAGCAGGAACAATGTTTGATCAAGAAGGCGAGCATTAAGGGAAACATGCTTTTGTGAAGACCCTGTTGGTAAGTGGACATCATGGAATCCAACAAACCCTGGAAAAAGGTTCATCGGCTGCCCCAATTTCTGGGTAAGTAATTGTTTTGGTCAAAAATCAATCAAATGATAATCAACCAAGTTGTATGAGAGGTTGTGGTGTTGTGACTAGTATAAGTATCAAATTAAGATCAAAATGACACGAGAGGTTTACAAGGAAAGCCCTTGATCATTGGTAGAATCTCCGAGATAAAACCTTAGGATGTGATAACGATCACCTGCCTTGTTTGATTTTATTGATTTGAATGTAAATTATAAAAATGAATATGAGTACAGGTGTTTTAGTAGCTCTAATTATGTGTGTAGTGTGTAGAATACGTGTGTATTTATAGTCTAATCCAAATAGCTAAGAGTTCGATATTTCTGGGATCCTCTTGAATAAGTATTCGTACGTTGTTTTGACTTGGTATTCCTGGGTCTTAAGCTTGATTGAGATGATTCTTCAGACTTAAGGAGTCTTTAGTTGAATATTTCTACATAAGTGAGGAATAAACAAGAAATATAGTCATTAATATTGTTAGGAAATAATAAGAATAACCATCAGGATCCTGATGTATATTTCGGGATCCTTAGATTTCTTTGAGATCCGGGATCCTGGATAAGATTGAGGATCTTGCCCTTACAATTGCCCTTAAATTATACCTGCAAAATATTTTGGATTAATTCCTAATATTTGAAAGAGTATAATTTCATCATATAATTAAAACAAAAAATGAAAATAGGGATTCTGAAATCCTAACGGATAAAGAAATTTGAATTCTAACGAATAGAACTCTATCCGTTAATGTAGGCATAATTATTTGTCAAATTGTTTCTCTTTCTTCTGTGATCTTCGCATAAATAGGGCATTTGGGTTCTCGATTCCTCTTTACTTCTTCTAGCTCTTTTTCAGACGGTGTCGATTATCCTAAAGGTAAAGCTCTTGCTCCTTTCTTCTGATTTTTCTTTTCCGTTGATCATGGGCAAGAAAGTGTTTCGTTCTCGTGCTAGCATCATCGCCCTTCCCGACGATGATTTCATCGATCAAAAGATTATGTCTTATGATAGGACTTGTTCTTTTGATAATGAAGACATTGAATCCCTGAAATCAAATGGGGCTTTTTCTTTTGATGCTACTTTTAAGTCTTTCGATGCTCTGGATGAACCAGACTTCGTCTACCCCACTTGTATTTTCTTCATGGAGTACCCTTTTTCTCTGGGTTCGACGTACCCTTTTTATGGTATCATCTCCAAATTTTTTTGAGGTCACCCAATTCTCCTATATCCGGGTTATGGCAGTGATTTGGATGATTCTTTTTTGGATCGATCATCTGAACCATGCTATTGATCTTGACATCGGTCTATCTAGTTAACCCATGTTTATGATCTTTCAACCTTCAGAAATTCTCATTTCCTGCTTAAAGTTAAAACCAACAAGTCACATCTTATCATGAAAAAAAAACAATGGTACCTGGAAAGAAAAATATTTTTATTTTAACTTTTTAATATTTTATAATGTTTTTTTTTTAAGTTTTATGATCAAAGTTCGAGTTGAAGGTTTAGTTGGAGTTGTCGGTCTTACAATGTTTGATCGTTAAGTTAGAAATATTTTGAAAATATCTGCTGCTGATTTATTATCAAGATATGAAAGGGTATATGTTTTTTATAGCCAATAACATATTGCTAAATAAAAATTAATTTTTATACATTTATTTAATTGTTGTTATTTACTATTTTTTTAGTTCGGCAATACAAGTGAGTTTCAAATTGAGTTGAAGGCCATGGTCCATAAAAAAAATTGGTTTTCAAGATTGTTGTCAAGACCTTTAATTTTGCTAGATTTGGTCGTACTTACAACTAACAGATAATGTTGACATTATTTATGTTTTGGAAAAGATTGAGAAGAAGAGTAGAATTGAACATGTAAAAATACACAAGCTTAATTAATTTACTACATACATATTTTAAACATGTTGTTTTATTATTTCAATAGTTGTTTTCATTATTAAACATTAACTTACCTATTTATTCATCATTTTGTTTTATATATTTACCAAGTTTTAATTAATTAATGTTTAATGTTTACAACATTATTGTCATCATCATTTTATGAATACGTACGTTTTTATTTTATTTGTTTATACATTGAAATAGTTAATTTATTCATTATAGATTTTGTCTTTATGTAAAAAATATTACTAAAAAAACATGTAATGCTCACCAATATATATTATTTCAAAAAAAAAAACCCTTATAATATGGGTGTCACACACCTAGTAATAATAATAAATAAATAAAATTAATGACCATATTAGGCCAAAAGAAAGTAAGAAATAGAGCCGCACACCTAGACCTGGCAAACGTGTCGTGTCAAGACATTAAACGGATTGATAGTGTTTGACCCTAACCTGACTTGTTCAATTATCGTGTCGTGTCGTGTCAACCCGTTTATTTTCGTGTCGGGTTTCGGGTTAAGGTTTAAATCTTATAAATATGTTGTGTCATGTCGGGTTGAAACATTTTAAAGGTTGAAAAGTAAGAGTCATGGAGGAAAAAAAATGAAAAAGTGAAATGCTGGAGTTGGGAGGTGGAATGGAAAAAAAAAATTATGGTAAGTTTTGAAAGCAAAATGGAAAGAGTTAGAGTTGGGAAACAAATGAGATAGGTAGTGAAGGAGAGTAAAATTAAGTCAATTTGAAAGTTTGAATTTTACTTTTAATTCTTGAGTTTGGACCGCTACAAATGTATAATATTTAAAATATTTATAAAAATATGAAATTTATAAAAATATATATAATTAAACGGGTCATATTCAAGTCATCTTCGAGTTGAAAGTCTTGACCCTAACCCTACTCGATTAATTATCGTGTTGTGTCGTGTCAACCTGTTTACATAACCGTGTCGGAATCTCTTACCCAAACCCGCTAATTTCGTGTCGGGTTGTCGTCGTGCCAAGTTTTGTCAGGTCTACGCACACCCACATGACATTTCAGATATATGATCTTTCATTTGTTGGAATTATGGGTGACATTACCATAATTTGCAAGGGTGATTGAAGACATCTAAAACCCCATTTGAGTATTAAGATAATAATGGAATGGGTTACAAAACAAAAGTATAGTATTTTTTTGTCATCAAAACGTCAACCCTATACATAAAAATATAAGCAAAAAGGAATGTTATCACACCAAAAGGGATGTACATGGAACGAATCTCTTTAGTATTTGGGTTACTCCAAAGAGGAAAAAGAAACAAACTCTTAAATTAAAGTATTCGTTTGTAGATTCAGAGAATCTCTATGTGTTAGCCAATGTGGCACCATGCTTTTTGATTATCTGAATTGACTGCAGAAGAAGATCCTGCTCTGTTGAAAATAACTTGTCTTTACTCTACACAATCAGACAAGATGTTAGCGTCAAAAACCAAAAGAAAATATTACATGAACTTAATAGCATATTGTTGTAAGTTAAATGTTCAGGTTACATTATTGTAGTGAATAGCATACAATTCATAAAAGAGTTAAATGCAAGGATGATTTGTTTATATTTCTACACATACCATCTGTTTTAGATTGCATCCAAGAGTAAGCTCCACAAAAGATCTTTCCACTCGAGACAAATAACAATACGGCTGCTCTTTTTCCAAGAAAACATTGGAATTTAATTTCATCATGTTCTTTATTTCCTCTGATATGGCAGGGATCTTTTCATACTCATCAATTTGAACAGGAATCTTGGACACCATTACACGCCATCCAGCCCGTGATTTGTTCACAATTGCCTACGAAAAACAAAAACAAAAAAAAAATGTTATAAAATAAAACATTCAAAGATAGAGATGAATAAACTAATGCTCACCTGACTTGAAAACAAAGAATTTGGAACTACTATAGGAAACTTTTCTGCACTAAGCAATGAGGTGGTTGTGAGTCCCATCTCCATAACTTGACCTTCCACAGATCCAGCCTGCAACCAAAAAAAATTAAAGTAAATAACATAATAACAAATTCATAAAATAAATAACATAAAATTTTTATTTAAATACTTTTATCGTGTCTCCAATTGAAAAGGGTTGTGAAAGTTGTACTGACAACCCACTTAGGACATTCCCAAGAATGTCCTTAGCTGCAAAAGCAGTTGCAACCCCTACAAAGATATAAAATAACAAGTATTACTTTTCAAATACAAGTTTTGAACAATTTATTAGGCGCTGTATTATTTTAAAAAAAGGGAGAAAAAAAAAAAAAAAAAAAAAAAACTTACCTCCAATTCCTCCAACTGTTAAAATAGATTGCACAGCCACCCCACAGGCTTCAGCTAAAGCCATACCACCAAGGACAAACAACCCAACAGAAGAGATTTTGTCCAAAGTCAACAGCTTATCTCGGTCAACACCCACAACAGTCTTCATAACCAAAGCACGTGTTATCACATTTGTTTTCCATCTATGCAAAAACCACACCAAACAAATGATAACAGCACCCCTCCAAACAGGTGCAATATACTGTGATGCAATTGTTGTTGGTGCCACCATTACGCCTCTATAAACCACAAATTAACATTATATATTGATATATTAACATTAAAGTTAAAAAATTAATTAAGCAAAAAAAGTTACTGACATTTGAGAAAATGCCATGAAGGTTATGAGAGATTTGACTGGAGCCTCTAATGCACCCCAAAAACTTTTCTCGTAAGGTACTGCACCCCACAGTGATCCTACTGGTAAGATTGTACTTGAACCTTCTGTTGAGTACTTATGGAACCTTCTAAATATCCTTGGCAAGACTGCCCATGCTAAAATGGTTCCCATTATGGTACCACTAACAGGAACAACAACATCACGAAGATATGGATAGGTATTGAGTAATTGTTCTACATGGGGAGTCACTCCATCTAAAGCTTCTTTTGCCTTTTCACCAGTTTGGGATGCGACATTTACACTTGAGGCCCAAGCCTCCTTCGCTTTATGAAGCAAATCATTTCCATCGAATCCACTGGTATCATTGATTTCTGATCCAGTAGAACTTGAAGCAGATACATCTTTACTGGTGGATGATGAGTATAGACGATGATTCAACAGATGTGTAGTTACTAGAAGAGGAGAAGTGCTCCAAAGGTGCAGGTTTGATGATTTGGGTGAGATTATGTCGACATTGTTGCTTGTGGTTCTTCGGGTTGTTGAGTAGTCTCGGCCTATGCAAGTGAAACACGGTCTTGCAGTTACTTGAGCTTGATTCAAAAATCTGTTCCTTGCATACACCCGATGAGAAGATTTCGGGATCAAGGACTTAATTGAGGTCATGATTATGCATCCAATTGAAACCCTAACTTGTAAGAAGAATCCTATACCTAAATCAATCGAAAGGAGAAACAGTTAATCATCAGATGAGTAGCACATTCGTGAAAAGTAAACGAAATCTGAATTCTAATATTCAAACTAGAGTTTAAGATCAACTAAAAAACAGAATTACACTAAACTGATATAAAAAACAAAAATCTAGACCTAAAGTATGACGAACTCAATGGTTCAATTTTAGGTATGATCAGAACTGCAAAATTACTTGATAAACAAGATAAAATTGTATTCTGGTTTTATGTTTTAGAAAATTTTTACTAGATCCCAAAGGTTTAGGAAGTATAGGAAAAAGAGCCTCTGCATCTCAAACACTAAACAGAACCCTTCTCATATATTTACCGAGAGTTCATCAAGGAAAATCAAAGCCTTCGACAGCAAGGCGAGAAAAAGATATCCTTACCTGTATTCCCATTGCTTTACTCGGACTCACGTCGACGGCTAGATATGACAGTGCGGAAGAGTCGAAAAGGTGAAGACTAATATTGAAGAGGAAGAGATATAGTCCCAAAATGTAAAAATCATTATTTTGGTGCAAAAAAAAAATAAATAATAATAATAAAATAATAATAATAATAATAATGGCAAAATTCAGAAAAAATAGATAATGATTTAAAAGGGTAATGTATTTTTCGATTTGTACATATTTGGTCATTGAGTTTTTTTTTTCGTCCACATTTACCCCTTCAACTTGTTAAACTGTACACATTCAGTCCTAATGACCAGTTACTCTAGTTTAACCGGGAACAATGACTTAATAGGGTAATATATTTTTCATTTTGTACACATTTAATCCTTAATATGTTTGTACATATTTAGTCCTTAACATTTTTTTGTTTCAAAAATAAGTCATTTTTTTGTACTTATTCAGTACTTATGAATGATTTATTTAGGTTTTCTCACGACATCTTACGTGGAACAATAATTGATGAGGTGTTTGGGTTTGTTGATGCTTATGTCCAACGCGGTCTCGATTGCTTGATTGCGTAGGTATTGTGGTTTGGCTTAGGTCTTGTATTTTGAACATCGTAACTTCTTCATACGATATCAGATTTTAACGATATTTATATCCACGTGTTCATTTTTTGAGTCTACTACAACTTTCATTAAGATTACTCCCGTTAAAATGTAATATATTTTACTTATGATTTTATTTAAAAAAAACATGCATACGTGCATTCATAAAAAACGTATGGACAGGGGCAGACTCAGGAATACATAGTAGGTGTTGTCGATACATGAAAAATAAGTATAAACGGAAAAAAAATCGAAAATTTTTCCACTGCGAACAGAAAAAACAGGTGTTGTCAGTGCAACACCAGGACCATGCTAAATCCGCACACACGTATGGATATAAAATCGTGAGTAAAAATATATTATTTTTTAATGGGTGTAATCTAAATGAAAGTTGTAGTAGAGTAAAATACGAACACATGGATATAAAGATCGTTAAAATCCGAGATCGTATGAAGAAGTTATGACGTTCAGAACACATGACCTAATCAACCAAGTAGTCGAGATCGCGATGGATATAAGCATCAAAAGCCCCATACACCTCATTAATTATTGTCTCATGTAAGATTTCGTGAGAAAAAACTAAAAAAATCATTCATAAGTACTGAATGAGTACAAAAAAATGTCTTATTTTGCAAAACAAAATATAATAATAAATAAATAAATAAATAATATATATTAAGGACTAAATGTGTACAAAAATATGAAGGACTAAATGTGTACAAAGTGAGAAATATATTACCCTATTAAGTCATTTTTACTGGATAACCTGAAGTAGCCGGTCATAAGGACTGAATGTATACAGTTTAACAAGTTGAAGAGGTAAATGTGGACAAAAAAAATTCAGTGACCAAATATGTACAATATACTACCCTTTTAAGTCATTATCCCATTCATAAAATCCTTATATTTTGTTTATTTGTAGAAAAATTCTTATATTTTTAGTTATCTTTCACATTAACCTAAATATCCAGTTTTTTTAAGAAATTACCGATTGTTTTGTAACATTACATTTATCTTTTTTGTTTTTAGGTTAGCATGAAAAAAAATGATGTTGTTCTTGTCTAAGGTAAAACATGAGAAATATATCATTTATTCAATGACCATTTACTCAAGCAAAAAATAAGTGACATCTCTGAGAGGTTGTTTGGGATTTCATTTTGATCATCAAAAGGATTTTTATAAAAAATGATTTATTAACTTATGGTGGAAGGAAAATGATTTTTTTTAAAAAGTGTTTGGATTAATTTTTGTAGTGGAAAAAATCAATAAATCAATAAGTTGTTTTTTTAAATGTTTTTCTTAGATTATGAGTAATTTAAGGTAATATTGACTTTTACAACTCAAAAAGTCATAAGGAGTTTAGAAAAAGAAAAGTTATAAATTCCAACTTAAAATCTCCATTTTGAAGGGTTAAGGAGAAGTTGTTTTAAAAGTCTTTTTCTTTTTACCAAACACTTTTTTTGACTTATTGACTTTTTAAAAAGCCAATAAGTCAATAAGTTGTTTTGAGATGAAATCTCAAACACCCTTTGAATTGAGTTGCAACCCTATGACTCACGCCTCCGACCACCAAATCGTAACAAGGGGAAGTCGTCTTCTCCAATAAGACCTCTACCTCCACCATCGCAATAAGGGGAGGTCGGTGAGACCTATGTCTCCATCATAGAAATTAGTATGGGTATGTTTGATTTTAAAATTGACACCTTTATGTCTTCTTCATTGCAGAAATTGATTTCTTCTTCATAAATTGTGGTAGTTTTCATCTCAATAAGATTGTTGATTAAACCCAAATTAGTGAGTGTTCATGGGGTCTGTCGACTCAATTTTACTATCTTCTTTGTTTCTCGGTTTGTTCTTCATAACAAACAGAAAAAGGATAAAGATTTGAGTTGCATTCTTGGTTGGTTTTGGTTTGGGAATAATCTTTTTGATCGAGGGCAACTTCGGTTGGAATTAAGGGGAAGGGTTGAAACCCACAAACGACACACAATAATAGAGACAATCAAAATCCATACCAGAGGGTTGATCCTTAACTATTTTCTCTTCATTCTGGAGATCTCAATTGTTGAATATACAGACACACACAAGGAGAGAAGGGGTAGTGATGTTGCAATTATTAGAGGGTGTAAGTCAAGGTGGTGGGTTTTTGCTACCATCAGAGCCCACATGGATGCACACCTGGTTTTTGCTAACATTAGAGCCTTAGTTTGACATTTATATATGTTGATGTGTTATTCTCACCCATGTCTGATTTCAATAAGAAAAACACATAAATACACATGTTTAATTTCACTTTTTACTATTTTATCTGATTTTTATCCCTATTAATCAAGCTCTTCATCTAAAAATGATGTTCAATACATTTAGAGACATGGAATTTTGATATGAGGTCTGTGTCAAGACAAGTTTTTTTTTTACATTTTGATGATTCAGACCTATCGATTTTCTAGTTCTTCATCTAAAATCAATTATGAATGTCGGGGCACCTCCATGAGTTCTTGCAAATCGATTTTAGATGTGTGTGATAGATGTCATTTTATGCATCTTTTAAGGTAGTTTTTATTAGCATTTAGCATCACATTTTTTACATTTGCATGTCACTAGTTTAAATAATGTTCAGCTCATATTTTTTATCACAATTCTCATACTGCTAGCATTTTTATGTCATTTTCAGATAATTCGAAGTCAAGGAGGATGGAACATATTATTTCATGAACCGAATTTGGGTCCCTAAACTTGGGGGATTCAGAGAGGTAGTCATGAATGAGGCCCATAAGACACGATACTCCATCCATCCGGGTTCAGATAAGATGTACCTGGATATCAAGCAATATTATTGGTGGCCTAACATGAAGGCAGAGATTGCCACTTACGTTAGCAAGTGCCTCATTTGTGCTAAAGTGAAGGTAGAGTATCAAAAGCCCTCGGGACTATTACAACAGCCAGTAATACCCGAGTGGAAATGGGAAAGGATTACCATGGACTTTGTGACCAAATTACCCAAGACAACTGATGGAATGGATGCCATATGGGTAATAGTTGATAGGTTGACAAAATCCGCCCATTTCCTGCCAATAAAGGAGACATACAAGATGGAGCGACTGACAAGAATCTACATCAAGGAAATTGTGAGACTCCATGGAGTGCCAATATCTATCATCTCAGATCGGGATAGTAGGTTCACTTCATGCTTTTGGCAAACACTTCAAAAGGCTATGGGAACACAACTCGACATGAGCACTGCTTACCACCCAAAAACGGATGGTCAAAGTGAGCGAACCATACAAACGCTTGAAGATATGCTTCGAGCATGTGTGATAGACTTCGGAAGGTCGTGGGATATCCACTTACCTTTAATTAAGTTTTCATACAACAACAGTTATCACACAAGCATCAAAGTTGCTCCTTTTGAAGCATTATATGGGCGTAAATGTAGATCACCGTTGTGTTGGGCCGAGGTAGGTGACACTCAGCTAGCAAGAGGACAGACACCAAACAATGCGTTAACAGGACCAGAAATCATATGCGAAACGACAGAGAAGATAGTTCAAATCAGAGCTCGACTTCAAGCATCACGAGACCGACAGAAGAGCTACGCTGATAAACGGCGAAAGCCCTTGGAATTTCAAGTCGGGGATCGGGTGTTGTTAAAAGTCTCTCCCTGGAAAGGGGTGATTCGTTTCGGGAAACGGGGAAAACTAAACCCACGGTACATTGGACCTTCGAGATTCTTGCCCGAATTGTTCCAGTGGCTTATAGACTGCAGCTACCTACCGAGCCCAGCAGTGTACACCCCGTGTTCCATGTTTCCAATTTGAAGAAGTGCTTATCCGATGAAACTCTTGTCATCCCATTGGAAGAAATCGAAATCAACGAGAATCTCCTGTTCATCGAGGAACCAGTTGAAATCATGGACAGGGAAGTGAAGCGTACTAAGCAAAGTCGCATTCCGATTGTGAAAGTTCGGTGGAACGCAAAACGTGGACCGGAATTCACATGGGAACGCGAAGACCAAATGAAGCAAAAGTACCCTCACCTATTCTCGCATTCTCAAATCTAGCTCCAAAAAGAATTTCAGGACGAAATTACCTCTAAAGGGGGGATGATGTCACAACTAGGAATTCTAAGGTTTTTGTAAACATTAACAAGAGTAACATTTGTGGCTAAAACTTGAAAGTATGCATGATGTTTATTCAATGACAACAAAATTCCATCAAACACTCTATACAAACACTTCAAATGGTCAACAAAAGATTGGAAACCCTAAAAATCCCGGTTTAAGTCCATTATGGACTAGG